TTACATTAGTTCGCATTTTTCATTTGTTTTTCTTACTACAGTTATTTTTTTAATGTATTACTTGGCTTTAATTTGAGTATGTTTTTCGCGTTGGAACGAATTATTTGGTTTTACATGTAATCGTATGGGAAAAGATGATCCACCTTACGACATTTTCATGATACGATCTCAGTTTCGGAACGGATTAATTTCGTATCCTGAGGTACCACTGTATAAGAATATTATATCATTTGCATATTAACATATAATTATTTTTTAGATATTCCAGTTGTTGAGGGTCGTGGAACTGTCAACATACCTGAAGATGATGATGTTATTGTATTAAATAAAGATAATTTTGATTTAGTTGTCTTGCCAAGAGATATAATATTGGTAGAATTTTATGCTCCATGGTATGTATTAATATATTCAATAAATAGATTGTTTCAAATAAATTTGACCCATATTTCATCATCATAATATATATGTTATGTTAATACTTTTGATTTCAGAATATATAAATTATTATGTCTTGATTATAAAAATAGTTGATGAAGTTAGAAATTGATTAAAATATAACTTAAATACATTTGTATAAAAATTGAATGCATTACAAATAAACTGTTAAAAAGATTTGTAATGTATTTGATTTTTAAATTATTCTTTTATGATATTCTGTAATGTAACCTGAGGATGATTTGTAAAGCAAATTGAAAACATTTGTTTGAGCATAAATGTTTAACTGTTAAGGTGGTGTCGCTACTTTTAAGTTTATCATAGAATGTTTTATGTATTTTTTCTATAGATGTTCATGATGTGTAGAATCTTCTTAAAAAAACAAAAAATGTTTGTTGGACTGTAATTTGAAAAAACTGTAGACCTATAAATTTCCATTGTTGTCTATCTGTCTGTTCTTCTGTAATCTCAAGAATGGAGTTAGATAGATGAAAGCCAAGACCATATATGGAAAGCCTAGGGGTATGAGGCCCCAATTAACCATATATGAACTTCTAATGCAAACCAGAAGTCACATTATTTCAATTCAAAACTTTTCCCCCAAAAGGAGTTAGATAGATGGCTGGCACAATTCCATTACTAACAGAAAAGTATGATGTACAGGTGCAAGTCACTACAGTACTAATTTTAGGTGGAGAGCATATATTTTAAATTAAATAAATTAAAAATATGATTAAAAATTTATTGTGACATTGTCACAATAAATAATTGCTCATCTTAATTGACTTTATTCTTGAAATTATATATTACATTATTTACTGTCCAAGTTCAGCAACCTTGGGAGACAATAATTTTGTAAAAAACATTTTCAATATGCACACCATCAGCATACAGAATTATCAGTAATCAATATGAGAAGTTTCCTTGTATCTAGAGTATTTTTATGATATAGAGCACTGATATTAAAACTGATAATTCACATGTAAATCAAAGATCTGTAGTAACTTCATTTTTGTTTAAGAAATCCTATATATAGTCATGCAGATTCAAATTATGATTGCCAGAACTTTCTGTAGCTGAATTGTTCTGGAAAAAGATTAGATAACACTATTCTCAATGAGCATTTTCAATTACACTAAGTACTGATTTATGTGACATGACATTAAACCAAAATAAAGGTTAACAGTGAATACTTTTTCTTTAAAGTAGAATTTTTAATTTTACAAATTCAAAAATTATAATAACAGAATCAAAAGACACAAATTATTGGTTACCAAATAAAAATAACTTAAAGTTAATGTTAAGGTTTTTAAAATGGACATATTTTAAACAAATAATAAATAAACATGATTTATTATTTAACTGTAAGTATAATATTAAGAATGTATAATTAAAAATAGCAAAAAATAATAACTATTTAGAAAAATTTAAGTTTATGAGAGAACAGCAAGAAATCTCAGATGGAAATACATTAGATATATATCTATCTGAAAACAACATGTTTTGTGAATTTTGAATAGGTTATTTGAAACTGTTCACTACAGTCTGTTACAAAAGTATAGGAACACCACAAATTTTGTGTTTTTTCAAAATTTATTTTGAAATTATTACTGGAAATATTATTAATTATTTTTTATCATTATTTTAATTGTTTTATGAGATGTTTTTACATTTCATAAAGTGTCATAAATTTTTATCACAAATACAGTAGAGTCCTGAAAACTCTGCACTTAATAACCCAGAAGTCCGGATAACCTGGCCACACCCTGGCAGGGCAAAAAAACCCCTAGTTAGTTTTCACTATAGACAGCTTTATGCCTCTTAAAATATTTTTCTGAAGTCTGTCTTATCAGGTAAATTACTGTACACTGTGTATTCATTAATTTTCATTTTCATGTCATAAATGCTCTATGCCTTCATAAAGTATATACTTTTCCTTTGTTTAAGGGTATTTGGGCAGTTTATTCTCTGTTGTATTTTCAAGCAAACAATACATACAAGTACAGTACAGTATTTTCTGAGGAAACACTCGTACTTATTCTTTTTTAACCCCATTCCCGATAACCTGGCATTTTCACAAACTGCCACCCTTCAGTCCATATTAGGCCGAGTTTTTGGGACTCTACTGTATTCATTTTTTGATGTGTTACAAAAGTATAGGTACACTTTCTAAAGTTACATAAAAATAATTTTTAAATATATTTTAAACACTTTTAGTGTTTGGTTTCACCCCCGTTGGCTACAATTACTTGAAAAATTCTATTAAGCATGGAGTTTATAACTTTTTTAATTGTTCATCCTTAATTTCATCCCATGCATCCATTATTGCAATTTTCAATTGATTTACAAATTCATATTGTTTCTCTTTTTTATAAACAGTGGCTGCTAAAATCCCCCATAAATTTTCAATGGGATTTAAATCTGGACTACGTGAAGGCCAGTCAATCACATCAATATTTTCTTTTTTAAACCAATTTTTTGTTGACATTGAGGCATGAATAGGAGCATTATCTTGTTGAAACTTCCATTTATGACCTCCAATTAATGCACCAAATGTAATCATATTATTATACAATAATTCGTGATACTTTTCTGAGTTCATATTTTTGTCAACAAATACTAAATCATTTTTACCTCCCCATCCAAAACCACAGCAAATCATTACAGACCCACCCCCTTGTTGCTGGTTTAATTTAACTCTGTTTTCTCTTTGTAAATCATGCCAATAATATGAAAACCCATCAGGGCGATCTAAATTAAACTTCTTCTCATCACTAAATGTTATTTCTTGCCATTTTTCAGCCCATCCCATCTTATCTTTAGTCCAGTTTAAACACATTGATTTATGTTTGGCAGTTAAAGGTGATTTCAAATTCATTTTTAAATATTTTACATTGTCATTGCTTTTTAAAGTTCTCTAAACAGTCACGTGAGATACATCTACTGGTAATTCAGCAGCAGCTTGCCTTGTTGACATGTTTTTATTAGTTATAAGTTTCAAAACACGTCTCTCATTCCTGAATGTTAAACATTTAGGCCTTCCTGACTTCTTTTTTTGCCCATAATTTTCACCTTGCAAAACATTTCAAATAGCATTCATAAATCTATTTACAGCTGCAGCAATTTGCCTCAGAGACTTGCCTGAACCACTCAAATAATAAATTTTACATATTTCTTGCTCCTGAAATACAGTTCCACAAGGCATTGTTGAAAATGTTTATATAACATTCAATAAAACATTCAAAAAAGCCATTATGACAGTTGAAAATGATGATATCTCACTCTGGTGATAATTTTAATTATTATTATGATAAATTAATTTTTAAGAGACTTCTAAGTGGTGTACCTATACTTTTGTAACACATCAAAAAATGAATATTTGTGAAAAAGACATTTATGCTGCTTTATGAATTGTGGAAATTAAAAAATAGAAACTATATAGAAAAATAAAGAAAACTATTGATATTCCTTGAACAAGTTGAAATCCTCCTTTTCTCTGTTTCCTGTTAATTTTTTTTTTTAAGTTTCTTTATACGTTAATGATTTGAAATGAGAATTTCATTGCGTTAAAGTTTCTTCAAAAGATTATTGCAAAAATTAAATATTAAATTTTAAACTTTTGGAATATAACAACTTTATTATTTTTTATGTTAAGATTGTATTAATTGTAGAGAGAAATATGATTACTGTAATTACAAAAGATCTCATTATATATTTTGCTATCATTTAAATTTTGAAAATATTTTGATAAATATATTTCTACAAAAACATGTTACTGGCTAAATTTATGCATAATTTATAATATATTTATATGCATATATTTAATGTAATAAAATCTTTAAATTTAAGTATTGAAAATGCAAGTTTCTAAAATAGTTTATTATTATAGGTGTGGTCATTGTCAAGCTTTAGCACCTGAATATGCTAAAGCTGCAAAAATGTTAAAAGAAGAAACCCCACCTATTCCTTTGGCTAAATTAGATGCTACAGTTGAAACTGAATTAGCATCTCAGTATGATGTTTCTGGTTATCCTACTTTATATATATTTCGTAAAGGAGTAAAATATCCATATGAAGGACCAAGAAGTGCTTTAGGTTTGTATTTTTTATTATTATACTTGTTCATCAGAAAACAGCAAAATTTTACAGCAACATAGTTTCCTAATTATATTTAAAAATTAAATCACTTTTAATCTGGTAGCAGTTATTTGAGATATAACACTTCACACAATAATTATTTGTTTATTGCTTTTGCAACACTAACTATAAAAACAGCTTTCAAGTAATTTGAAATCAACACATTAGAATAATTATAATATGAAGCCAAATGCATAGGAATGGGGGTGTTTTTCAGGTTTGAGCCCTCTCCATGAGAAAAAACACAGAAAATATTCTCATAAATTATGTTTACTTAAAAAACTGATTTTCAGTATGCCATTCTCTTCAACAAGTTAAATGTAAAGAATAATGACAGTTTCTTAGAGTATTCAGAAAAAAATAAAAAATAATTTCTTGTGTCTGTATAATAATATAGTAAGGAAGTGGGATTCTCAACTTGGGGTGATAGATTGTATTAGAGATGTTTAGAAATATACATTTTATTAGTAACAGAAGTGCCAAAAAATGTTTTTCATTGTCTAACATGTTCCTGCCTTCTAATCAGAACAAATTAACATTAAATATTTAAAAATAGCATGTGCACTCAAATTAGAACATATAAATTTTAACATTAATGTTAATATCATTGTCTAACAAATGGCACTTTCGAGCCCCTCCTTAAAACTATGAATTCCTCATTACTGTATGAAACATATTATCATGTTGCTAGTAATTTTTAGACATCATTATCTTTTGGACTGAGATGTAATATAACATATACAGTGAGTGATCGGTTAATGAACAGTTTGGATAGCAAACAAATCGGATAATGAACACTTTTGCAAAAGATTTTTATGATCGGACAATGAACACTTTACTGAACAAACATAAAAAGAAGTGATGGAAAATAATGAATACCAATTGATTTTCCCTTGTCTTCAGGTAACAATTCAAAATCTTTTGAAGCACAGGAGATATCAACACCTGATACCAATCAGATAGTATTCCTCTGAATTTTGAAACTCTCCCTTGTAATTCCAGCTTTTTGATCACAATGGCCATTCTAGTTTGTGAGTTTTGACATCTCAAATAATCTTGGTACACTTATACCTCTAGGTGGTTTACAAGATAAAAATATTCGGGAAGAAGCTTGTCTCTGGTAATTTTTTCTACATTCATTAATAATTTATTAGTCAGGTCAGTGTATAGGCATTTAGAGTTAGTTTGATGCATTTTGTTTTGGTAAGTTGAACATTTGATAAAAACTGGTATGTTGCTTTTATTTGCTTATAAACATACTATTGTATTCTTACAATACCAGTTAATTTGTCTGCAGGCTTTTAAAACTTTGTGGAAGCTCTGATTGTGGAATTTGTTTTATAAAATATTTCTGTGTTTTAATGAAAAGCTGAGTTCTGATATTGTCAGCTAGCAGATAAGAGAATTTGTTACAAAAACTTTTCAGTTATGCTGTAAAATTTAACAATTACTGAATCCTAACTATCAAATACTATTTTGGCAAAGTCTCCTGAAATTGGAAAGCTCATTGGAATGTCTTATCTCTTCCATTTTGTTTTTGGTTAATTTTATTCTTTGTTTTGTAATTAAGTTTTAATTAAATTAATGTTAAATAGTATTTTAATATTTAAATTTTTATATTAATTTGAAAATTTAATCAATATAATAAAAACTAAAAATTTTAATATGAAATTTTATATTTATATTCTAATTTTTAAAAATGTTAAAACTTTATTTTAATTGCTATAAGATGTTTATATAAAAAAATTATAATTGAAATTTCTTGTACAGTTACTGTGCTTTCATTTTCTATAGATAATTATATTTAACTTTTATATGTTTAAATAAAGGTATTGTTGAACATATGAAAGAACAAGCTGATCCTAACTGGAAACCTCCACCAGAAATGGTTATTTCTCTTACAAAAGAAAATTTTACAGAAACTGTAAATAAAGCAGAAATTATTCTTGTTGAATTTTATGCACCTTGGTAAGTGTAAAGAAATAAGTAAAATAATAGATAATAGTTATTGTAAATCAAGTAGATGTATAATCAAAATTTTATTTGAATTATTTGTTTAAATCATTAAGTATATACTAATAAATTTGAAGTGGCATAATTCCAATTATGGTTTACTATTACCAGTAAACTTTTTTTTATAAATTTTTCTTAAGAAATTCAAAATATTTGATTTTTAAAAAATTTTGTTTAAAACAAAACTTAATATAATATAACACAAATATTTAAATGTGTTTTATTAGGTGTGGTCACTGTAAGAGATTAGCACCAGAATATGAACGTGCAGCAAGACAACTAGCAAATAGATCACCTCCAATACCTCTAGCAAAAGTAGATGGTATAGCTGAGAAAGATTTAGCAAATCAGTATGATGTTTCAGGATGGCCTACATTATTAATTTTTCGACATGGTCAAAAATATACCTATGATGGTCCTAGAGATGAGTCAGGTAATTTTCAAGTTTAGACTAATTTTTCTATTGAATAAAAGCAAATGACTGAATTTATAATAAAAAGAATAATTATTAACTGTTTATTAATTAGTAACTCAAAAATTTTTATTAATATAAAAGGTGATAAACTTTAGTATTATTCCATTTAACTAACATATAAACTGAGACTTAAAGTGAACTAAAAATTAACTTTCATCAAATTACAAATTTGGTCATAGATTGTCTTTTAATTACAAACTTTCAAAGTTATCTTTAGAAAATTATTTTAAAATTATTAATTCAGTTGAACATTTTAAAATCAAATATCAGGAGATTTGTGTAATTGGATGTCATGATATCATCTTCATCATCAATTAAATATAATCAATAACATTAAAACAAAGCAGCTTCTTAAGGTAGTCAGTGTTTTTTCAACAAAAATTTTGGCCTGTCAGGCCAACATCAGCTTGTACAGTACATGTAATGTTGATTGTAACACCTGAAACAAGAATATTAGTCCCATATGTTTATGTTAGGAATCAAGTCATCTATAATTTTAACACATGTTAAATATATCAAATTTTAAATAACATTCAGTATTTAAATTTTACATTCATTAGTTATATAGTTAATAACAAATATTTTAAGAATTAAAATATATTTTTAAAAATGATAGCTACTTATTGAATCTTTTAAAGTATTGATTTTGAATAGAATCAAAGTAATTTTTAGTGTTGTTTTAAACTAAAGTCTATTAGCATAATAATCTACTTACTGTTCTAATAATAATAAAACAGAATTACTATTTTCACACTCATAGCTATTAGTTTAGTTCAGAAATATCTAACTTAGGATGTGTTTATTTAGTCAAATTTAGCAATGATATGTGTGGCAAATGTAAGAAATCTTAAATCTAGGAACATGATGCAAATTTTATTTAGACCCAATTTATATTATAAACATTTTAAAAAACTTGGTAAACTGGAGTCACTGTATATTATAGAGGGTGGGCCAACGAAAACAAAACGGCCGAGTTATCGTGTTCATCCAAGCAAATTGCTCGGACAGGTCGATTTTATTCTCAAGGGGGCAACTTTTGCAATAAAGTTTTTGCAATTCTGAATACAACAGACAACAAAAAATTTTAAAAACTCATTCATTTTTTATTAACTAAACAAACATTTATTTCAAATAAAGTAACAAACATAAGAAAAAGTTATCAACTATTCAATAAATGTTCGAATTGAGCACCACTAGCCTCCATACAATAGTATAAATTTTGCTCAAAACGGTTTCTTACATTTCGGAAAGTTTCGGGTGTTATTTGAGAACACTCATCTACAATTCTTTGTCTTAATTCTTCAAGAGATCCTGGTTCGGTTGCATAGATCTTATTTTTTAAATGTTCCCAAAGAGAAAAATCAAGAGGACTAAGATCTGGGGATCTAGCCGGCCATTCTAAAGGACCTCTACATCTGATCCAATGCCCAGGAAAAGCCGTGTTCAAAAACTCTGTAACTGGTCTTGCATAATGCGGGGGGCTCCATCTTGTTGGAAAGTAAGGCGGTCTTCTAAGTATCGGTCATCATGTTTGATGATATTAACAAGTAATGGATGTACAACATTTTCAAGTAAATCTAAATAACTTTCTCCCGTTAGATTACCATCTAGGAAAATGTGGCCAAGTACTCGATCTCCAAACATTCCGGCCCATACATTTAGCTTTTGTGGAGTTTGGCTATGAACTTCATGAAATATGCTTGGGTTATTATCTGACCAATATCGACAATTGTGACGATTAACTGTTGAGTTTAAAAAAAAGTGCACTCATCGGAAAAACAAATGTTAAAAAAATAATTCATGTCAACTCTTAACCTTTCTGTCATAATTTCACAAAATCATCTTCATTTAATTGGTGAACTAAATTAATTTTGTATGGATGAAACTTGTGAGCTTTGAGGATCCGGCAAATAGATGTTCTGCTAATGCTAGTCATAGCCTCTAGCTTCTTTGTACTTAAAGTTGGGTTCGCAGCAACTTGCCCCAAAATCCCCATCTCTGTCGCTTCGTTTCTTACTGGATGTTCATGTCCGGGGACACGTTTTTTGTTAGCCACAGAACCCATTAACAAACTTTTGAACCAACTCCAGAACGTATTTTGCGTTACAATGTTTGTTTGGATAGCGTTGATTAAATAAATTTGCAGTAAGATTAGCATTCTTGCCATTTCTGAAATGAAGAGTTACTATTTCCATCCTTTCAGCAATTGTGTAAACCATAACGATTATGTTGTACAAAATTCACAATAAACAAATAATAATCTTAAATTCTGATTGAATCACTAAGTGATCAAGCTTAATGTGAACACTACAAAAAAGAACATCTAAAAACAGATAACACATTATCCGTATTAATTTTATGATTGATTTTTTTTCCTTGCATATGCAGTCTAGCTTAAAAGGTTTTTTTATGTTTGTTAATAGTTTGTGTTACTTTTTTCCGAAATAAATGTTTGTTTACTTAATAAAAAATGAATGAGTGTTTAAAATTTTTTGTCATCTGTTGTATTCAGAATCGCAAAAACTTTATTGCAGAAGATGTCCCCCTTGAGAATAAAATCGACCTGTCCGAGCGATTTGCTTGGACGAACACAATAACTCTGTCGTTTCGTTTTCGTTGGCCCACCCTGTATAATGAAATAAAATTGTGCATTATTGATAATAACTTCTACATGTAAAATGTAGAAATTGAGAACATTTATAAAGACTAGTTCAGGCTGATTTTGATTTGTAACAAATAACTTACTTCAATTTCACAGTGTGACAATCCAGAATAATTTAAAGTTATCAAGAATTTGTTAAAGTATTAAATTGATGTCAAATTTAACACATCTGTCAAATTCATAAGAAGGGAAGTAAAACTTCCTTTGGGAGAGATGTTATCACACATCTCCAATGAACATCTGTTCATTTGCGTCAGAAATAATATCCCATCAGATATTAAGAATATTAAAGTCCAATTAGAGAGAAATTTAGAATAAAAGGGGGAGAAATCATAATCTCAGGGCAGCAACGGAAAGTAACACAGACGGCCATAGAGAATGGCAGCAGTCAAGGGAGGAATGAACACTGCCACATGAAAGTATGGATGCCATAAAGAGTATATTGTTCTGCTCTGGCTCTCCATCATTCGTCTCCCATTCTTTCTCCATCAACATATCAGAAGAGAAGCTCTACACATCAAACTAGACTAAATACACTAGTCTAGACAGAAGTATTAATATATATATTATTGTAAACTCTCTCTTGGTAGTTAGAAGGGTATAGAGTTGATATTTGATTTAGCAATAGATTATTTCTTTATGTAGTTTATTATCATATTCATTAAATTTTGTTTATTATTTGCTAATCTACCTGCCTGTTCTTTTGTTTAAATGGGCTCCAATTGAACTTACCTGCAACTCTCCCCACTTGACTATCAGCCCTCCTAAAATGCCATCCAGTGACCCAGTGAGTAGAACTAATGGTTCTAACGACTAGAGGGTTTACCCCACTCGTATTCTCACAACTGTTTATTATCGAAATTTAATTATTAAAAATGTAAGACTGATGGTTGTAAATAATAACCAAACCTCAACACTAACCTTTAAAAATGTGGCCTTTTTTATTCACTTTTCAAATGTTTTTGGCCATTTGAATGGCTTTCTTCAGGAACAACAAATCAAATGATTCCAAATTTCTGTAATAAGATTTGTTCTGGAACTTTTTAAACATTTGAACTTTTAGATGTTTAATGTTGCAGGCCCGTAAATAAAGAATTACAATATATATGGATTACTTGTACAAATATATGCATATATTATACATACATATAATACATGAATAAATAAATATATAAATAAATAAACTAACTAAGATAAATAAATAAATACATTAACACAACTGCTAATATAAAGAAGGCCACTACTGTGCCTAATTCTTTAACTGTTTAAAGGTTAGTATCAAGGTTTGGTTATTATTTAAGTGCAGTCAGAGAAGAATGATTGTAAATAAAACAGACTGTTTCAGAATTATTGAGAAGTCTATTTTACTTTGAAAAATATTACAAATTTTTTTTTATAAACTTAATGAACTTTTTTTAATGTAGTTTTCAGATTGTAAGATTTTGTCAGTTTCATTTTGTACATACAAAAAACATCTTTAAAAATTATTTATTGATCCACTTGTGCCATAATTCATCTGTTATTTATTTTTTTATAATTTATTTTTATGTATGACAATATGCTTAAAAGTTTGAATAAACAAGGAAATATTTTCTAAACCAGTGGTTCCCAACCTTTTTTCATTAGCGTACCCCGTGACATGTCGTATCTCCAGATTGTACCCCTCATTTAATGTTAATTTTACATATTGTAACTTTAAATTGAAGAAAAAAACTTTAAATGAAAATATGTATAATAAAGTTGTGATTGTTGCAAGGAACATATTTTACCTAATGATTTTTTAATATTATTAGTTTGTGATACATNATTTTTTAATACTATTAGTTTGTGATACATAATATATTATTTTTTCTGCCATAATAACTAACTTTTTTCTGTACCCCTAAACAACCTATCGCGTACCCCTAGGGGTACGCGTACCACAGGTTGGGAATCGCTGTTCTAAACCATTGCAACTTAAATGGCTTTATCTTACATAAAATATCTATTTTGATGCTATTCAAAATAGAAAAGAGAAATAAATTTCATATGAATGCATTCTATAATCTTAATTTTATTACTAAATGACGATAATAATTACAAGGAAAAAGTTGTTAAAATTCTCAGTACGTAACAGATACTTTTATTGTTCCTAGTTCTTAGAGGATATTTCAGTAATAACAAGTATTTCTGCAGAAGGTAATATCATTTCACAGTCCATTAAAATTTTAACATGACCCATAGATTGAGAAATGCTGATCTAGATAATACAGTAGAGCGTCGATTTTCCAAATCAATTGTGGACTGGGGTTGTTCGTATAACTGATATTTGGGATGACCGATTTATATACGAAAAAATAGTTTAACGTATCCAATGTTGAAATTTTTCTCAGTTGCGTGTCGCTTCGCGTTGAATTTTCGTCGATGTTAAGCCTAACAAAGACTATTGTATCGTTAAAAATTATTTTTTTATTTTGTACAGACAAAATAAATATATTGAAAAATATAAAAACAATAAAAAAATTATACTTCAGATGTTAATTAAGTATCAAAAACATAAAATATTTGAGTAGCCCAAGACATAGCCAAAGATTGAAGTGCCACAGCACTGGCGAAAATTTAAATTTGCCGACTGGAATTCTTTTGGATGATTGACTTTCAGAAAATTGACGCTCTACTGTATTATATATGTGCTAACAATCTTATGGAGTAACTTTCCTGTATTCACAACATTCCAATAATCATTGTGTTAAAGAAATAATCTTCTCATTGTTTTTACTAACAGAAGTGAAATACTCTTTCATTCTTCTGTTTAAAGATATGATAATGGAACAAATGTAATAAAAAATTCTAGCAGTTTTTGATAAGCTTAATCATTTTATTTTATTGTTGTTGTTTGTATCAAGGAAATCAAAATAATTTTGAATTATCAAAAATTCAAAATAGTTAAGTTTTGAAAAGTAAACTAGGTTTCTTCAAGTTTGTAAAGTTTATCAGCGTTCTACATTTTTACTTTTTTCCCACTTTTTTATTTGCTTTAACTTTTTAGGTAAAGACAGATTTGTGTAAATTCCACGCTAAGAAGTTGCAAAAATGTAGCTAAACAGCTATGCTATCTAGATTCTCATACTACTAAAACTATAAAACATTGACTATTTTGTTTATTCTTCACAGGTTTACAGAACATATGCATTTTAGGAGTTTCCTAAAATGCATTCTTTAAGTCTGTTGACTATATGTTAATTTCTTGTTTAATTTTTTAAATATGCAATGTACTAGCTTAAAATTGTCAAAAATTGTATTAAAAACTTGAATTAACTATTTTTTATATACAAATTATAATGGAAATGATAGCGAATTTGATTTATCCAATAACTTGAATTAATCAGATTTAATTGTGTAAATAAATATACTATAAATTAAGCAAGAGATTGATTTTAACTTTGGTTCAGTTTAATTTCCTTTAAGAGAATATGAAATAAGAATATTCAAATCTCTTACTATTGAAAGGATAAAAATTTATTAATGAACAAAATTTAATTTTGTATAATCAGAAATATTGATTTTTACTTTTCTCTTCATTATTTTTTAACATTATTTAAATTTATTTGCCAGTATTGTATTTAATGATCTTCAGTGACCAAATAATAATAGAAGTTAACATTTTGCATCATTTTCTTAAATCATAATCGATACTTCTACTCTTATTGATAAATTCAAAATGTATTTTTACTTTAAATTTAACATGATTGTTATTACATACTACATTTTAAGTAGATGTAATAAAAAATTAATGATATAGCTTTCTTCAATTAAAATATAACAATCAATTGCTTCTGTAAGGATAAATATTATCTTATTCAATAAACTGTACTAAATAAAATTTCAAAAATATTAAAAATTTCTAGGAATTGTGAAACATATGATTGAACAAGCAAGTTCTCCTAGTACTGAAGTTGTCTCAATAAAATCTCTGGAAAATAATTTAAAGAAAAATGATCCAGTTGTTGTTGGATATTTTAAAGACCAAGATCATTTCTACAAAGAATATATAGAAGCAGGTAAGACATTCATTTTTGTATAAAGAATAAAATATTTTTGACATTTTTTCATTTCTTTAAAGAAGGAATTTTAATAAATAATTTAACAAATTAATAAAGCATTCAATAATAAATAACATTTCACTATTTTTTTCTAATAAAAAGATTTTTGAAATACTGAAAATTTGTAAGGAAAAAAAAAAATACAAATTTTATGTGTGCTCATTATTAATTAAAAAATTAAAAATAATTATTCCAACTATTTTTTCTCAATAATTTAATATTTAATTGTTTCATTTTCCAATTTGACAATGGAATTACAAAAATTCTGACATTTTTTTTTTTTAAATAATTCTGTTTGATTTATATTTGATACCATTTTATGATTTGTTCTGCAGGTTATAAATTCCTGAATATATTTATTATTTTATTAAAAACTGAATAGCTTACTACTCTGTAATTAAAGTATTAATATTATGTACAGGCTAGACAATATACCTATTTACTCTTGTATAAGACAATCTCACATATAGGTGTGACTTTAAAGATCAAAATAAAGAAAATTAGATTTATTAATACAATTGAATTTTATTTCATTTAATCACAAATGAAACATCAAGTTCATGTAAATGCACACATTGTCCCACAAAAATTACTGACATTTAAACTTTAAGGAAAAATCTTGTAAAATCGACAACATAATTCATGTAAAGCTTTCGGGAACCTTTTTATGCCAATGCTTAACAGTCAAATCCACTCTCAGTTAATTACACTTATGAGTTTCTCCAAACTCTGATTTCCAAATAATCATCTATTTTCACGTGGGAATGGATTAAAACTTATATTGGGTTCCCATGTGATTTTGGAATTTCAATTTGGAATTCAATTCAAAAGCTTTGCTTTTCCTATTGCTATTCATCTTTACTCCTGACAATACACAAGAACGATTCAAACGACCAAGATAAAATACTTTTGTCTTTAAACACCAGAGGGTGAGCATCCGGTAAAAAATGTGAATACACAGTTCACAAAAATTATTGCAAAAATTGCAAAGAATCCTTTGCTCGCGCATATAGGACAACCTAGGTTTTTGAAGCAGTGAAAAATGAATGGAAACTTCATCTTATACATGAGTAAATATGGTATTAATTATAATTTATAAAAAAATTGTTAAATTTAAAAGTAGAAAAATGAAAGGGTAAAGATTGTCATATTTGTAATTTTAAGGTTTTAATTCAATGAAGAAATTATTAGAAAAGTAATTTAAAATCAGTTAAGAATTATAAAAAAAATTATCATTCCAATGGCATACAATTAATCATTAAAATCGCACTTATTAAACCTTTATTGTCTGGTACTTGTAAACTATTTGTAAAAACAAACGTTTTCGGCCTCAGACGAGGTCCTCAGGTTAAAATAATTGGATTCCATTCTTAGAATGAATGTTTAGTTTTAAAATATAATCGAATTCATGCGTGTGTTATGTATCGTCATCGTTTTGTTGTTATTCGCATACGTAACGCCAATCATAAGAAAGCGTGTTGCCGTCTTTGGTGTTTATACATCTCCCCGTTTGTTCGGCTTTGTAGATTTCCAGGGCTTCAAGGGCTCTGATGTGGTCCGTATGAAAAGCTCTATTTATTAATCTGGCTCTTGATAGTTCTGCGTGAATATCCAGGTCGGTTGCATAGGTGGATAGTGCAGTGGTGTAACGAGCATATTCTATGTCATATTTGTGCTCCTTAATTCTCTGTTGGATTGAACGCTTCGTGGAGCCAATGTATACCATTTCTTGTTTAAATCGATCATCTTTTACAGGAATACTATATACCCCCGGAGCTCTAAGATTGTTCTGTTTGTCTTTTGCATTATGTAGTAATTGATATATATTGGGAGTTCTTTGGTACGCTACCCTGGTGTTCGTTTTAGTTGCAATTTCTCTATATAATGCTTGAAATTGTTTGCTGTATTCAACGATGTTGCGTCTTCTGTTTGAATCTTGATTAGCATTTTGAGTAATGGGTGCCTCTTGTGTTTCATGTGTTCGTAAATAGGCATTTGCCAGTCCTCGTATTAGTTCTTTTCTGTATCCGTGTGCGACTGCAATGTGTTCTATATTTTGTAACTCAGTTATCGTGCCACTCCACTTAGAAGGGTGTGTAAATGCTCTTCTAACCAACGCTCGGAATGCTGCGATTTTATAATTGTACGGGTCCGCTGAGTTTGCCGGTATAAACCATGGGATGTAGCTGGGTTTATAATATATACCCGTATCAATACTTCCACTGTTGAGCATGATGTTGATGTCCAAGAAGTGTGCATTGGTGGTAGTTAATTGATCTAGTTTCAGGGTCAGCCCGTATGGATTGTTGTTCATGTGGCTCAAAAACTCATTGATGTGTGGTTTCGTTTTCCACAGGATAAAGACATCGTCCACATATCTCTTATAGATAATTATATTAGAACTATACTTTGGTATGACTGTTTCTTCCAATCTACATAATACCAACTCACATAAGTTGCTAGACAGTGGGCTGCCCATGGGTACCCCTCGTTTTTGTAAATAGGTCTTGTTGTTAAATTGGATTATGGAGTTGTAACACATAAGATGCGCTAATTCCAAGATCTGTTTTCGATATTTAGGTGTTCTAAATTTGTTCATTAGGAGATCCCTTAGAGTGCAAAAGCAAGGTTGCAATTTGATCGAAGGGTATAATGATTCAAAATCACATACTGTGATGTGGGCCAACTCCGTTACACGTGTTTGCTTTAATATTTTTATAAGTTCTCTGGGGCTCTTGATGTTTAGATCATAATTCTTCATATGGTCTGATGCAATGTTATGAACTGCTTTTTCAAGAAGTTGGGTTGGAGACCTGGCCTTGTCCAAAATGGGTCTAAGAGAAGGTGTTTGTTTCTGTGTTTTCACAAAGGCGAATAATTTAGGTGTATCTGGTGATGCCACTATCGTCCCTTTCAATTTTAGCTCCCTGGCAAGTGATGTTTTTGTAAAGTGTTTGACTTGAGCCTGTAGTTTGTAAACGTATTCGTCGTTAATCGGCTCGCATTCCATATCGTTGATGTATTGTTGCATCAGACCTCTATAGGTGGTTTCTATCTTCTAATCTGAATACCGGTATTCAATTAGAAGATTTTTGAATTAATTCATTCTTTTTCTTTTACACAATGACCTTTTAAGGCTGTTGATGGCAATGCAGTTTTCCCACTCCTTTTAATTCTCTCTTTGTAGTTATCTGTTGTCTTTCATTTCTTTGATTTCTTATTGTCCTCTGTTCTTTTGACATCATCCAATCTTGTTTGTTGATCTGTGAATATGTTTTATCATGTTTGTCATGAGAAGTACTTTTAGATATATCTGTCAAAACAAACTTCTAGATGCATCCTTTCATATATTTAACATGTAATGTTACTATTTGAAATATTCTTCCATTTAAAAAAGAAGTAAATGAAAAGTAACTAATTATTTATTATTTTTCTTATAACAAATTAAGTTTTATTTTATTTACTTATTTTCTCAAACAAATAAAACACGTTCACTAATCAATTTTCTTTATGTAGTGTGTTTTATTGTTCTATAGTTTCGGTATTTTCCATTTACTGCCTAAAGTTGCTTACTGCCTAAAATGAAACATCCTACTAACCTACAAATTGAAGAGAGACAGAAAACTAGTATATATGGACTGTTTCAGATAAAGTGATAGTGTTCATGAAAAATAGATAAATATGCCTAAATCTTATATCGTCATGTACAAAACAATATTCTCTTTCATGCTGGCTTGATGCCAAAAAACAAATAATGATTAAGTAATGTCTCTTCAATCTGAAAAAAAAAAACTTCCGGTAGACTACCTCACAATAATGAGGTAGTCTACATCATTATTGTGGTATCAACATATCATTATCAAATAATGATATGTTGTTACTTAATCAACATATAAAACAGCTACCATTAGAAAATTCAGAAAACAAATAATGAAATCAAACAATTTTATTCTTTGTCAAAGTAATCTATAACATCAGAAATTTAGGTCATAATTTAACACTTGTTTTTGTAATTTTTATTCTGAATAATTATACACTATTGTACCGAAAATTACATAAATTAATAAATATATGTGATGTTTTTGTATCTCTATGATAAAAATTTGATTTTTGGTAAATTTTTAAAATAAAATACATAGAGTGACCTTGNATTTAAATCCATTTATGGAAATTATATATACATATCTTGTATATTCCAGCAAATAATCTTCGAGGCAAATTTAATTTTTATCATACATTTGACAAAAATGCTATAAAACATTTTCATGCTTCAGAAGAAACAGTTGTTTTATATCAACCTGAAATATTCCATTCTAAGTATGAAAAACCAAAGTATATATTTTCTGAGGTAAGTTTTTAAAAAATTATTCAAGGGAAATTTTTCCTCCCTATATCCAAATTAACAGTTATTATATTTTAGAAGGATGGTTCCAGTCAAGAAATTATGGAATTTCTTAATAAAAATGTTCTTCCATTAGTTGGACAAAGAACTAGATCTAATATGTGGAGATATTCAGAAAGATTTCCACTTATTGTTGTATACTATGATGTAGATTTTAGTTTTGAACATAGAGTTCGTAAGTATATAATATAACTTTAGAACTAGAATTATATGCGTTATTATGTATGTTCAACTTCTTTTATAAAGTATTTAAAATTTAAAAATTAAATTGTTTCAAAACTCAAATCTAAATGTATCAAAATTTTTATATTAATTTATTATTATTAACCAAATGATATTACTGGATTTTATTTGGCTTTAATATGGTTAATTAATTATGAAGACCTACCTTCTACCTTTAAATTATGTAATAACCCAATTGGAAGATAGGACATTAATCCATCTTGCATTAAATTTTTAACTAGAACATTGTGTACTTTGTTGTACTGCAATAGAATTGAGATGGAGTTGGCAGGAAAAAAGCGATACCTGTATCTGTTAGGCATAGAAGAGAGAATCGTTGTACCTGATGTATGTGGACAAATGAACTTTGCACCTGCTGGCCACAGGAGAGGCTATTCTTTCACTATCAACACAGAGATGCAATCCAAAAACAAAACACTTGCCATTGATTGCTTTGTTCTTGTGTTTTGTTTGTTTTTTGAGCCTATTTTTTATTAAGTACATGCAATGCTGATTTTATTTTTGACCCTAGGCCAAAATTCCATCAAGTGCACTCAGTCACATCAGAAAGCTCAGATGATATTACTTTAATAACTCTATCTATTGAGAAACATGTTTACGGACTCCTATTTTTTATATTTAAATGGACCCTCATTACATTTTTGGATTCCTTATTGCAATTAATGGAAAATGAGAAAGTTTAATCAAAATTGGAATATTAAATTTTGAGAATGAGCTCAATTCTATAAGTCCATAGAAGGCATGCTAGTGACTGTAGAACATCACGACATTGTTTTGTCACGTGCACTTGTGCTAAAACCTTATATTTCAAAATCAAAGTCGTGGGCCCCACATTTTTATTACATTGTTGGATTCCTCATCACAATTGATGGAAAATGGTAAAGTTTGATTATTAAACTTTAATCAAAATCAATCAAAGAGATTTTGAGAATGAACACAATTCTGTAAGCCACATAGAAGAGGCATTGCTAATGCTCCACCTCAATAATTAGAAATAAATCTGAATTCCATGCTGGATCAATCTTTTCTTCAAGAATATTTCATTTATTTATTTCTCTTGATCATTACTATAAGTTAGTCTATAAGATATATTAAATATTGTATGATGTATTAATTTATTTATCATTTGATTATTACTATAAGTCAGTGTAGGTTTTGTATGTAATTATTACTTTATTGATGGTAGTTACCAGTAAATTCCTGGGTTCTAAGGATTTTAAATTGATTTTTAATAAGCACATTAATTACAAACCACACAGTCTTTCAATCTTTTAAATGTGAAAGATTAATTTTTTATTAAGAACAAGTAACTTTTATAAATTTTCATTAATAAATTTAAATGTTTTAAATTGTAGAGACTCAATTAATTAGGCAAGAAGTTGTAAAAGCAGCTGCTAAGTATAAAGGAAAAATTACATTTTGTATATCTAATGAAGAAGAATTTGAAGATGAACTTGTTGACTTGGGTCTGGATGATAGTGGAGAAGATGTTAACGTTGGATACTTTCAATCAAGAAATGTTCGGTATCAGCTTCAACCAGATGATGATTTTTCTTCTGATATCTTACAACAATTTATAAATGATGTAAAAGAAGGTATTTAAATTTATGTTTTAAGAATATAAATTACATTAATTTATAGAAATAGATTATTAAAGTAATCATCTTTCTTTACAAATATCAGCAATATCTTGTTATACACTATTTTAAATGTTATTTTAGTATTCCTAGTCTTAAAGTTACACCAATTTAATTTTTCACTTGATTAAATAGTTATGTTTTGTAATAATTTACAATAGCATTTATCATTGTAAAACTATGAGGAGTGGCTTCTTTAAAGTATTTGAATCACTCAATTAGTGCAGTTATTTTTATTTATATTAATATTATAATATTCCATTATTATAAATTAAATAATCAGTCCAAAATCTTTTATATTAATCAAAGTTCCCACACACCTGGAAAGTTAGGGATTTTCATTAGTACTCAGAAAAAGTCATGGAATGTCAGGGAATTTGTTAAAAAATTGTCAAAAAGTCAGGGAATTTGCTTCCTTGGCTGCCTTGTTAATTTTTTGCTGACAATATGCTTGACTAAGCACAGCCATCTGCAGGCAGCAAGAAGTAATGTGGTGCAATACAACTTATGAAAAGAGGTGCAGAATATTTTCAGGACCCAAAATTTCTCCCAAGCATACACAAAATTTTCTAAAAATTTATAAAGTGCACAAAATGATAAATAGTTTAAACTAATATATCAAATACTGTAGTAGAGATAACAGAGACTTATAATATTCTCTACTTATCTCTACTATAGTATTTGAGAGATTAATTTCAACAATTTTCAAGACAAGAAGCTCTTTATGATAAATAGTTTAAATTATTTATCATTTTTCATTTTAATAATTTTGATTGCATAACAAAACAATTTTTGATTTTTTTTTCCAGTTTATTAATATTTTATAAAATTCAGGAAATTTATTAAGAGATAAATTTAATAAATACATACATTTGTACTGTACATGGATTATATAGAACTTGTTAATGAATACTAAAAAATTGATTTTTTTTTTTCAAAGTCATGTAGATTCATGGTTGTTGATTAATAACAGAAATTTAATAATACATTTTATTTTTAACTTTAATAATTCAGCAATTATAAAAAATATATAACTGCTAATTAGAAAAAATAATTAATTAAAATGTTAGAGAAGAAAAACATATGTGCATAGTAAGTCAAATGCTGTTTTATTTTATCAATGTGCTATACTGTGAGGGACATGAGGGTCAGGGAATTTGTACAAAGTTGGTCAGGGAAGTCATGGAAATTAAAACAAAAATTTGAATAGGAACCTTGTATAATGCATTTCATGTGTATTATGGGAGATAATTTTTTGATCATTATTCCTAGTCATACTGATTGTTCAAGTAAAGAAAGCATTAAAAAGGAAACGGATGTCAATCAAATATCTTATTTTTAAAAATAGTGCTCAGATTTAAAACAGCTTACAATTTTAGCATTGCTTCATTTATCCATTTCAAATTTGATTTATAATTAAATAATCAAATACCACTAGATTTTAATTGGGCTACAATAATAATATGTCCGTCCAGCAAGCATGAGACCTACATAACCATATGTTTGCACATACAATTATATAGTAATTTTGATGTATATTGATTTATTATTATTGTTTATAATTAAGAAAATAATAATTTTTCAGAAACTATTAGTATCTGTCTTTACAGTGTGTTTTCCCTCTTGTAAACCTCTCATCTCACAAAAGCTTATCTTTATTACAGTTAGTATAAAATGATATACTTGGTTCAGTCAAAAAGGAACCAGAATTATTTTGTTAAAAATAAAACATTTGGGCTGGAAAACAGAATTTGGCAGATACTTAGATGCATTGGCATACTTAGATGCAACATTCAGTACAACCGACATTGCTACTACAAACGTCTTAATCCAGAGTAACCAGTTCATCATTGTCAATGAAGTTGCCAACCATTTATAGATTAGTCATGGCTTGTCATATTCAATAATGCATGATGTCAGACTGTAGAAATCAAATGACATTTGAGAGATGGTCATAGAATAGGTTCACAAGCAATCAAGCCACTTTTATGAAAAGAGAATTTTAAAAAATTTGTGAAATGGTGGGATACTTGTCTTAACTGCAGAGGTAATATTTTGAAAAATATTAAATGATGTGCTAAAAAATAATTCTGGTTTTTTTTTATGAACCATGTATTATTTGGCAAAGATAGTATTAACAAATTTATTATATTGAAATATAATAATTTTCAAGTTAATTAAATTTTACCAATAAAACTTTTTTCAGGAAATGTCAGTCCCCATATCAAATCCCTACCTGCACCAAAGAATAATAAAGGACCAGTAATTACAGTTGTTGGCTCAACATTTGATTCATTAGTAACCAAAACTGAGAAAGATATTCTTTTGCAATTTTATGCACCTTGGTGTCAACATTGCAAAAAATTAGAGCCTGTCTATAAAAAATTAGCCAAGAAATTTGTAAATAACAAAAATTTAATGATTGCAAAAATTGATGCTACTGCTAATGATTATCCAGAAAAATATCAAATTAAAGGTTATCCAACGATTTATTACATTCCAGCTTCCAATAAAGAAAATTTAATTGCATACGAAGGTAGTAGAGAATTAGATGACTTAACAAAATTTGTCAATAAAAATCTTGGTGAAGATAAACAATCAGAAAAAACAAAAGATGAATTATAACACTTAATTTCTTAGAACTTAAAGTATAAATTCTTATTCTAAGCTACTTAAAATTTCTTATTTGATTTTACTGTTAATGTATCTACCTATGTAAACATTTTTAAAATAAGAATTTGTTTTTATGATCTCAAGTTTTTGCACATTTGTTTACAAGTTTTATTCTTGTAAAAAATTTTTTAAATGTTGTTTAAAATTTTTTTGAAAATCATTCTTTTAAACTAATAGATGTATATTATTGTAATTATTATAAAAGATAAAATCAATTATTCTATCAAAACTCAAATACTGTTTATTAAAAGAATATTTAATGGTTTTTTTTCTATTAAAGTATCCACATTTTCTTTTATTAAGAAATAAATATGACACAAAGAAAAAATAAACTGGTAAAATATATTTATATGAAAATATATTTGTAACTTGAAAAAATGCAAAATTTTAAAATCAAATTTAAAGACTATAATAAATATAAAATAAAGTTATACTAATTTAATTAAATCATTGTAAATTGATTTTTGACAATAACTAATCCTTTCCATTTGAATAACAATTAAAATAAGGTTTTAATTATTTTTATAATTGTTTATTGTATATGGGAAAAATACTTTAAACATTTTTTGTATGCAAATGCTATGTACTATGTACATTAGAGTAGTTTTACATTTATTGTTATTAAACATTTTATAAAATGAATTCTTAATTTTGATGGATGTCTCTATTTTTTAATGCTAAATTTGTAAGTTCTCTTTATAAGTGCAAATTTTTTATACTAAAGCATTCTCCAACCAAAAGGAAACACTTCCTTCAAAAACAGATAGTCCGTTTTTGACATGGAATTATCTTCAGATGACACACATCCTTAACCAGGAACCAACAATTCAGTGGTTTCCAGTCAAGGATCCTTATTCATCAAACAAGCAAAACTTTTCTCTCTGGACTAGTACCCACATATACCACAAATAGCTGGAAGTCAAGTGCATGTGGGAGTCAAAACTAGATGGATCTATCATAGAGAAAAGAGGAATTTGAAGAATATAGTGTATGTAGACAGAGAAAATTTGGACAACTGAACCTACAAAGAATGCAGATCAATTTATGAAGCAGAAACATGGAACAATTCATCAATCACTGCAAAAAAAAAAATCCAATACTTGAGACATTAATATGAATTTACTATACATGACATGCCAAGAATTTGTGTTTTGCATCATGTTATCTTGTATATTTCATCATCCATAGTTTTATGTATATCCTTCAACAACTGAAAAATATGCTGAAACTATACAACTTCAATTATGATCACTCTATACATTCAAAGCCATCAGAAAATAGTTTAGATTATCCTTTTAGTAGATAAAACTTACATTCCAATATGAGTATTTCTGCTACCACAAAAGCACTTGAGAGATTTATTTTTTGAAGGTCAGATGACAAGCAGTAATGATGCCAGCCTGTTGCTCTGAAGACCTTGTCAGTTATAAAACGTTAATGCATTTCGGCATCATATAATTCCCTTGTCAGAATGTTCTGTTAAACAAACAAGTCAAATTTAGTAATTACGAAAACATTTTTATGGAAATAAAGAAAAATAATTAAAATTATTTATCTCGACAAATACGAAGAGAGAGAGTAATACGATATCGGAATAATTCCTTAGAAATTACTGTATTCCAAATTCGGTATGAAAAAATTTCGCCCAGTAAAAATTTACAATTTAGAGGACGCGTCGTCTAAATTGTAAATTTTTAACCGTCGCGACGGTTAAAATTTTTCTTAGCAAGTTTTCTTTACTAAAGATAAGCTTAGCGTTTGGAGGCGAAATGTAAGGTAAATACAGGTAAAAATCTTGTGGGCAACGCTTCCAAGCACCAAGCTTATCTTTACCAAAGAAAATTTTTCACTGCGTCTAAATTGTCATAAATTTTTACTTGGCATAATTTTTCTACATCTCAGATGTTTTTATTTAATAATTGTATTATTTTACGTCAACACAGTATCGGTCGGCGACCGAAGACCAAATGCGCTGCAAACCGAACGCTTTCAATATTCATTTTGGTGTTGCGCGTTTCGTTTAGAAAAATCGATATAAAAAGTTTTAATCCGCATAAATTTGAGCTTTTGTAATTCTGAGTAACATTTTGAATAAAATTTAATTTTATCCTTATAAGTATAAAATTAAGCCGTAAACTGAATTAGCTCTATGGTAAGATGACCAGATTTTAACGCTGATGAAGCGGGACAAAACTGACGGGGGGAGTGGTCTTATTGAAAAAAAATTGTTCTAAAGCAACAAAATTTTATTATCGTAGAACTCAAAAATTGTTTTGTATTATATATATTTTTTTAATTTCAACATATGCAAAATTTACAAATATAATAAATATATGTGAGACTAATCGGGGGTAGGATGTTTACGAGGATGTCCCTCTCCTACCACTTACTCGACTCAAGACCTTGAGGTCCGGTCTCGCTTGTCTAAAGGATGGGAAAAACGGGTTAGGAGAAAGGATCGTTAGATTCTTTCTCCTAACCCAGGAACCAACAATTCAGTGGTTTCCAGTCAAGGATCCTTATTCATCAAACAAGCAAAACTTTTCTCTCTGGACTAGTACCCACATATACCACAAATAGCTGGAAGTCAAGTGCATGTGGGAGTCAAAACTAGATGGATCTATCATAGAGAAAAGAGGAATTTGAAGAATATAGTGTATGTAGACAGAGAAAATTTGGACAACTGAACCTACAAAGAATGCAGATCAATTTATGAAGCAGAAACATGGAACAATTCATCAATCACTGCAAAAAAAAAAATCCAATACTTGAGACATTAATATGAATTTACTATACATGACATGCCAAGAATTTGTGTTTTGCATCATGTTATCTTGTATATTTCATCATCCATAGTTTTATGTATATCCTTCAACAACTGAAAAATATGCTGAAACTATACAACTTCAATTATGATCACTCTATACATTCAAAGCCATCAGAAAATAGTTTAGATTATCCTTTTAGTAGATAAAACTTACATTCCAATATGAGTATTTCTGCTACCACAAAAGCACTTGAGAGATTTATTTTTTGAAGGTCAGATGACAGGCAGTAATGATGCCAGCCTGTTGCTCTGAAGACCTTGTCGGTTATAAAACGTTAATGCATTTCGGCATCATATAATCCCCTTGTCAGAATGTTCTGTTAAACAAACAAGTCAAATTTAGTAATTACGAAAACATTTTTATGGAAATAAAGAAAAATAATTAAAATTATTTATCTCGACAAATACGAAGAGAGAGAGTAATACGATATCGGAATAATTCCTTAGAAATTACTGTATTCCAAATTCGGTATGAAAAAATTTCGCCCAGTAAAAATTTACAATTTAGAGGACGCGTCGTCTAAATTGTAAATTTTTAACCGTCGCGACGGTTAAAATTTTTCTTAGCAAGTTTTCTTTACTAAAGATAAGCTTAGCGTTTGGAGGCGAAATGTAAGGTAAATACAGGTAAAAATCTTGTGGGCAACGATTCCAAGCACCAAGCTTATCTTTACCAAAGAAAATTTTTCACCGCGTCTAAATTGTCATAAATTTTTACTTGGCATAATTTTTCTACATCTCAGATGTTTTTATTTAATAATTGTATTATTTTACGTCAACACAGTATCGGTCGGCGACCGAAGATCAAATGCGCTGCAAACCGAACGCTTTCAATATTCATTTTGGTGTTGCGCGTTTCGTTTAGAAAAATCGATATAAAAAGTTTTAATCCGCATAAATTTGAGCTTTTGTAATTCTGAGTAACATTTTGAATAAAATTTAATTTTATCCTTATAAGTATAAAATTAAGCCGTAAACTGAATTAGCTCTATGGTAAGATGACCAGATTTTAACGCTGATGAAGCGGGACAAAACTGACGGGGGGAGTGGTCTTATTGAAAAAAAATTGTTCTAAAGCAACAAAATTTTATTATCGTAGAACTCAAAAATTGTTTTGTATTATATATATTTTTTTAATTTCAACATATGCAAAATTTACAAATATAATAAATATATATACTATTATAAATCTTTAAGAACTCTATTCTTTCGCATATATCTCATTTGAATGAATTTTTTTATTAGATTGCTATCGTTGTTTAAAATGTCATGAAACTTTCCGCAAGATAAATTACGGCTTTCAAAGTGTCAACACTTAATTGTAATTTATCAGATGTCCACACTTTATTTACGGTAAAAATGCGTTTCAATCGCGGAATTAGTTCCTGGTAGGAATAGATCTTATTCCACAAGTACCTAAGACAAACTATATTTTAACAATTATTTTAATCCTTTTGTATTTCTTTCTAAATAATAATAATAATAATCTGTATTACTTTTCTCTGAATTTGCCTTGAGTGTCACTTTATTATTGTAATTTTTTATTATATAATAGTCATAACCAAAATGAACCCCTGCCCCACCGCTAGCAATAGAACGATGCAAACCGATGTGTTTACTCTCTAGTCGCTAGCTTTCTAAGGCGGTGACAGACGAGAGTTCTACGCCATGTAATATGCAACAAACAAAATGTTCACTCGTTTGGACAGCCAGTGAATACGCGCTGCTCCGTTGCNTGAATATAATATATATATTTTAAAGTTATATTCTTTTTATTAAAAAATTATATTTAGTTTTATCGGTTCGTTAAATTTCCTGCCAATAGATGGCGATACATTAAAACGGGCACTACGGATGAGGATATAAATCAATTGATTTACAGAAACCCAATAGTTATTTAAGAATGCGATGTTCGAAATTATTTAAATTAGCTGTGTGTGGACGTAACTGCCGAGATGAATGATATTTTAAAGAGGAAAAAAAAAAGAAAGGCGAGTGGAGGCGCGAACCCAGGACTTTCATTGCCGCAACGCAAGCCTGATGGAGGGGCGTTTGAGAGAAAAAACAAAGAAAAAGGCGAACGGTGATTCGAACTCAATCTGCACGCTGCAACGCAAGCCTGGTGGCGGAGCGTTTGAGTTGGAAAAAAAAAAAGGCTGCCAGTGGTGCGAAGCCAGACTGCACGCTGCAACGCAAGCATAAGGGCAGAGCGCAACTGACCCGGCCCCAGCGGTATGGGTTCAGCAGTGAATTTTTCCTTGTATTTATATTTAACAAATCGTTGTTAAGTGAATATCTACTGTGTTTAACCGCGTAAGTCGGGGTATTACCATACTTACTTTTATTTTACTTACTTTATATTACTTACATTAGTAATATAAATTAAACGAAAGTATCGTTTAATTTATATTACTAAACAAAGACTTGTTTCAANCAAGCCTGATGGCGGAGCGTTTGAGTTGGAAAAAAAAAAGGCTGCCAGTGGTGCGAAGGCAGAATGCACGCTGCAACGCAAGCATAAGGGTGGAGCGCAACTGACCCGGCCGCAGCGGCATGGGTTCAGCGGCGAATTTTTCCTTATATTTATATTTAACAAATCGTTATTAAGTGAAAATCTACTGAGTTTAACCGCCTAAGTCAGGGTAGCGTAAGTTGGGGAGGTTCGCGTATGTCAGGGTAGCGTAAGTCGGGCTATTACTGTACTTACTTTTATTTTACTTACTTTAGTAATATAAATTAAACGATACTTTCGTTTCATTTATATTACTAAACAAACACTTGTTTCAAATTTTATCTAATACTCTTTGAAGAAATACTAAATATTAATCCATTTTCCATCTTCCAAACCGTATATGACTAAATCAATTAAACGAGATTTTAACACAGTAAATAGGGAAAAGGGGAACAGGCGACCAAAAATAAACAGATTTTACTTTAATTTTAAGATATTTTTATATTAATTTGTATAATAATATATATTAAATAACACACAAACATGCACACAGAAATGTAAAGTTCATTTTTTGTGACCGAGGTCCTGACTTTTCTGAATTTCTTGTTTTTTTGCAATAAAGTTGTGTAGTTCCATTTGTCTCTTTTTTCTTTCCTTAATTCCTGCGAATCTAAGTCGATATTGCTTATGGCATCCATCCATGATATATATATATTTTTTTTTTTTTTTTCAAAATTGCACCAGACAGACATAGATTTAAAGAAAGTACAGCGCTACGACGAATTGTCACTTTTTGCCGACTGGTTCGTGTTTGGGAATATAAACGAATCAATGAAATGCCGCGATAATTTGAATCGGCGTAAATTTTGAGCCTTTTTAGGCTTCGAGCACACCGTGTTATATCGAGTCAGCGTTAAGCGGGGCCTTACTATTTAAATAAAAAATGAATTTGCATGCTCTACTCCAGTTCCGTTTGCAGAAATTTAAATGTGTAGAATTTAATACGCAAAAAGTATTTTGCCATATTGTAGTTCATTGATTTTTACAATATATGTATGTATGCAGTACTTGTCTATTCTGAATGTGATCTAGCAGTATTTCCTACATTTGCAATATTGATTCTGGTCATCTCTATTTTTGAAAACCCAAACAATTTCGTGGAAAAGTGCGGCCGATGGACGATCATCTACGCCACAAGTTAAATCAGTAATAGACTAACAAAGAAAATAATAATTTTACATTTTATCTGTTTCCGATCCCAAAACAAAACCTTTTTTTACCTTTTCAGTTGAATTTCCTGCATAAAAATGCCTAGAAATGCAATATAATATATCTGTGTCTATTCGTATATATATATTAAAAGCAGTGGTTTTGGTAATATTTAGGTGGTCTGTCAATTATAAGGTCCTTTTAAAATCGTCACAGAAATAACATTGGAAAAATAAATTATACTAAATAGGTGATATTGAGAAATTCGAGTCGATGTTTATGGATGTAATTAGTCTGGGCGAGCAGATTGAGCAGTAATATGTCATAAATGAAAGATTATAAGTAATTTATTGTCGAGAAAAGAAGAAATTTGACGAAAAGAACAGATAAAAAAGAAAAGTGTAAGAATTCGCCTTGGAGATTTTGTCGAATCTTGACAGGGAACTGAGTCTGAAACGTAACGTCGGTCAGTCGCTTGACACGACTAAAAAACATATACAGTGGGTGATCGGTTAACGAACAGTTCGAATAGCGAACAAATCGGATAACGAACACTTTCGCGAAAGATTTTTATGATCGGACAACGAACACTTTACTGAACAAACATAAAAAGATGCGACGGAAAATAACGAATACCGATTGATTTTCCCTTGTCTTCGGGTAACAATTCGAAACCTTTCGGAGCGCGGGAGACGTCAACATCGACGCTCAACCCGATACCGATCAGATAGTATTCCTCCTAAATTTGAAACTCTCTCTTGTAATTCCAGCTTTTTGTTTACTTTTCTAACAAATAATTTTTATAGTATTCGCGAGACTGTCGGACCGGCAATTGTTAAGTTTTGCGTCGGGGTTTATTTACGAAAGGTGAAAGTTTAACTGTCCAATCTCTCATCATACTGCTGCAACTGTGAGTCGTGTGATTTGTTTGATATAACGTTTATAGAAAAGTGGGTCGTGGCAAGGTGTTATCTGCCTATGAGAGAGGCAAGATTGATGCATTAAAACAGCAAGGGCTGTCCAACAGGGCTATAGCAAAAAAAATTAATCAGTCACATAACGTGGTGAACAATTATGTACATAATCAAACTAAGTACAACCAAAAACCCCGTTTAGGACTCTACGGGCACTCAGTGAACGTCAACTTCGATGGGTTAACACCCTAAAACAATCAGGATAATCACTCGGACAGTTGGCACGTGATCCAATGGTTAATGTTTATAAGTCAACCCTATCAAGAGCTGTAAGGCACAACGGATGACTGTTGTACAGTACAAGAAGGAACTTCAGCCCAGATTAACATCAGCCCTAAGATAGCACTGGTAAAATGGGCTAGAGAACATTCAAGTTGAAGTACAGGATGGAGACGAATAGTATTCAGCAACGAAAACACATTTAATTTAGATGGCCCTGATGGCTGGTGCTATTACTGGTATGACATCAGAGAGGATGAGAAGATTTTTTCCAAACGCCAAATGAAAGGAGGATCAATAATAGTCTGGGACGGATTCGGATACAACGGAAAGACTAACAACGCATTTCTGAGTGGGCGTACAAAGGCCCACTCACACTATCAAGGACTGTTGGGTATTCACCTCACGGCATTTGGAGAAAGAGTTGGAGGACCAGTCCAGACATTCCAACAGGACAATGCACCAATCCATGCAGTGCACACTACATGAGTGTGGTTCTTACACAATGGTGTGCATGTAATGGAATGGCCTACTAATTCCCAACCTTAACCCCATGGAGAACCTCTGGGAAATCTTTGCTAGGAAGGTGTACGCCAACAAACGTCAGTTTCCAACTGTAGCAGAACTGAATACAGCCATTCTGCATGGGACGAGATAAGTCAAGATGTACTGTACAGTACTCCAGCGACTTGTAGACAACATGCCTCGTCCTGTTTTTGACATTGGGATGCAAAAAGGGCAGTTTCTGGAACGATAATGTGCAATTCCACACGATGGAACTATACTTTTGCAACACATGAATTATCTCACTTTATGTGTTTATGCATTTACAGTTGTCTAATAATATGCTAGTTTAATGATGTCGTATTATTTTTAATGTTTCTGCTACCTACACAAATCAATGTATGTGTTGGTTTCTTTAGATACGTTTGCTTAACTGAATGGAGTGGACCTAACCTTTTGCAAAGCACCTTAATTTGGTCTTAAAACAGTCGATAGAAACACGAGGAAAAAATAAAATCGAAATCTAACTGCAACAAATTAAAGGGGAAAGCAAAAAACAGCAAAATATAATTAATAGGATTGTTCCGACTTATTATTCACCGGTTTTATTTCTTCGGTCAGGACTGTACACATCGATTCCAGATGACTAGTATATTTTTTCCAAAATTCATGTTCTAAAATTCTACTAGAGTTCAGACCGCCATTTTACTTTAAGTCAAAACATCGAAGACTGTACCACGTGCTGGGCAGGATTGTTACTTTAGAATCTATCTTTTTTTTTTAAAATCTAAATCTAGACTGTTTTGTTTGCCCCCAGATTTGTTTTCATTGACCGCTCTTATACCGCCACCGAGAACAGGCGCAATAAAAGATCTTTCACTAATTTGCACCGAGTTTTAACTGCTTAAAAACTTTTTATTGGAATGTAACATTACAAAAAACTGTATTTCATCCAAATTGACAAAGGATCAAATTCCAGCAAAATCGTATTATAAAGCAAAAATATTGTAGGCAAATTTTATAACGTAAAAACTGCCAGTAACTAAACCTCCATTCATTGAACCCGGAAAGACACTTTGGGCACAATTACAGGCGTCCGTGAGGCGGTTGTTCCTGCAGAAAAGAAAAGATTAAGTCGACGTGTCCGGAGGAAGTCAAATGGCCGACGGGTTCTGTTACTTTTGACTTTACCTTTCTGAGTTTCTCCAAACCTTCTTTGATCCTGGCGCCGAACTTGGGATCCACCTGCGTAAAGTTGCGCACGGCCCGATCCTGGATGAAGACTTGAGCCGATACAATGTGGTTGACAATGTTATCCACTAGACGCTGCTTCTCTTCTTCGTTCAACACCTAAAGGGTTAGAGGAACAGAGGTTATCGGGTATCGGATTGGCATTTTCTGCGAATGGAAGGAAGAATCACCTTGTTCCAGAAGGTGCCAGGCTGAGTGAAGTTGTCGTCGTCGGAGCTGTTGTATCGTTTGGCTTCCGGCGAACAGGCCACGGGTGACTCCATGAACACGGTTTTGTCTTTGGGTCCATTAAAGCTGTTGGGATAGTAATTGGGGGCACCACCTAGTGATACAAAAAGCTATTACCACGGAGTTTACCCACCAACGATTATTTGGAACTGGACCGATTTCCACTAACTCTGGTTGTCATTGAAAGTCTGTGGACCGTCCCGTTGGTAGTGGTGGCACCTGGCACGGTAAGGACAGTTCACAGGGATCTGCAGGAAATTGGGCCCCAGTCTGTGACGGTGGGTGTCCGAGTAGGAAAATAGACGACCCTATGGTTTTGTTTCGGCGTTAGACTCTAACAAATTGGTAAATTGGCGGAGTAAAAAAAGCATTACCTGTAGCATCTTGTCGGGACTGGGTTCCACCCCGGGAACCATGTGAGCTGGACAGAAGGCGATCTGCTCCACGTCTTTGAAATAATCTTCTGGATTTCTATTCAGGGTCAGGGTGCCCACCGGCATCAGTGGGTATTCCGAATGGGGCCAAATCTATATAAGTTATTGAAATGTTTTTTAGTCACAGTCTACTAAAAACCATTCAAACATGATAAGTACTAAATAAAAGACTATTTAGTGGCCGTTTTTATGGGCCAAATTTACTTCTATGCTTTATTATTATGTCCCAACCACTCTATTCTGTCATTTTGACTACAATATTTTCAATTTTATAAACTAGGATTTATCCAAAAAACTGCTTCAAATGTTAGAAAAGTAAGAGCTAAAAGAGGTCTTTAGTATGGATGAAACCCACCAGCCTTTCCAGTATTTGCCAAATGAAGCTTGCCTATAAGGGAAAAGAGTGCTTTTGGACTGAAGAGTGGTAAACAGAAGGCTACTAATGTGCCTGCTGCCGACATCAATGGTACCAAAAAAAATGTACACATTTGGTGAAAGTCTGATGTCTAACAGGGTTAAAACTCATCCGCAAATCAAATAAAAGACTGCAGATAGCCAGTGAACTTTTTGAAAAGTGGATTTAGAAATTGATAATGAAATTTCTAAACAAAAACAAAAAGTCTTTCCTGTCTTAGAAAATTGTGCCATGCGTCCACACAGAATTAAAAGCAAAAATAAGAAAAGTCCAGTCAATATTTATTCCTCTCAATCCAAGGTCACGTCTTTGACCTACAGATCGAGGAATTTAATTTTTTTTTTATTGTTGATGACAGATCTTGCAACTATTTACCCCAGTGACGAACTTTGCGAAGGCAGTGGCCTTTGCAAAGTTTGTCACTGTTTCAGTCCATTGTTTTCAACATTGATGACATTTCAAAATTTCCATAATTTCTTCTGCAGTGATAAAGGTAAAAGACTGGATAGCAATGGTGATAACATTGTAACCAAACCTTAGAACAGGGGTGTCCAACCCGCGGCCCGCATGTGGCCCAAGGCAAGTGCCAATGCGGCCCAATAAAAGTGTAAACAAAACTGACAAATTTATTTATTTATTTATTTCAACGGCATAAACTCGAACAAGAAGTTTCACAAAGTTTACACATATTTTATTTTTGAGTGGAAAGGAAATATTTTCAAATATTTGGAAATGTGTGAATGAGGAAGGAATACTAAATAAAGCTGGAGTTGTGACTCAAAGATTATAGTCCCAAATTCGGGGAAAGGAGAGAAAAGCCAAAAGATAAAAAGTAGTGAGAAAGCTTAAATAGACGTTCTGTTATGCAAATATTGACCCTTAATTTTCCAACCTTCCTCATTTTATCTTTTGTTTTTTCTCTTTGTCCTCTCATTTGGGTCTGTAATCCTTGAGTTCCAACTCCAGCTTTATTTAGTATTTCTTCCAGCGTTGCAAGATTTCGTTACTTTGCACCAAGTTTGGTTACCCTTCTGTTAGTTTGGCGTAAAAAATATCATTTGGCGCATTGGCTACTTTTGGGCTACATATTATTTATAAATATATTACTCGAATAAAAATGCACTTTAAAATGGTGTTTCGTCGCTTTTTATTAATTAGAGACCCAAATAAAACAAATATTTGTGTTTTTAAAATAAATTTTCGTTTATCTCCTTTATAATAAATGAATTTATCTATTTCTAAGTAAAAATTGAAAGTGTCTGTAGAGGTAATTTTTTATAATATTCTTTTTCGTAATAAAGTTTTAATACTTATTACTATAATCTAGATATGGTAATCCTTAAATATACTTGTATATTTAAGGCCACAAGTATATATAATAAAGATTGGGCCACAAGTATATATAATATATTAATACTTGTGGCCCAAAACTCCTTGACTTCTTCCAATGTGGCCCAGAAAAACAAAAAGGTTGGACACCCCTGCCTTAGAAAATCAAACTCACAGAGGCCACAAACTTACCTAAAGCATCAAACTAAAGAGCAATTTTAATAAATTGCAAGATTTGATAAAATAAATCTGTCAAAAAATAGTTTTGTTGCTTTATGCAAGAAATTGGAATTTTGGCCTCCAAATATGCATACGTAGATATAATTTAATCATGTGCATGTAAATTCATAGTAGATTTAAATTTATTAAAGTCATATCCAGGGCCAGTCATTACGGTAAACAACAAAATGTAATGTTTTCCAACATCATTTTTCTTTGGAAAAATGCAGACCACTAAAAGATAGTGTAATTATTAATGCTCTACAACCATACATTTGTATATTTTGTACAATTGAAGGGAAACGATGCAGAAATATAGCCTAACATGATATTAATGATGTCCAACATTACCACCATTTGATTATTGTAAAATTATTCATGACAGAATGTGTTGTGATATAAAAATACTAGCATTGTTATAACCTTACAAAAAAATGCTATTACTTAATATATTTGAATAAAAAGTAGTGAATCAAAAACTGTAGCTATTTTAAACTGCTTATTATTTTCTCTGAAGTTACTATTATTTTGTCTGTGCATACTTGTTTGATATTTCAATGTTTTATTAATAACAAACATTTATAAAACAATCAGGTGCCACTTAAAATATATTGTTATAATACCATATAAAGTAAAATTTGTTTGAGTAAAATACATATGAAATGAAATGTTTAATAAATTTGGTACCTGTTGACAGTAGTTTAGATTTATTAGTTTTACATTGAGGATTTCCTAAAACTTGGAGAAATGAACAGTAGATGCAGTTATTACTTGAATAAAAAAATGCGCGATTCAATAAGAGATGTCCTAGAAATTTAGCTGTGCTCGCTTTACCCGGTCTCTTATCTACATTTGTTAATTGGTGCAGGCAAACGCAACTAAGTTTCTGAGATTTTTCATAGTGATAAGAGTGGTGAGAAATGCCTTGTGGGAACTTATGAAAAATGTGTTAACTTATTATCCGAACTGTCACTCAGTCAACAACAATTTGACCAGTGGGATACAGAGCCATCTGTTAATTATCTCTATGGTTTATGGGGAGAGGAAAAGCATGTTGATGTACTGTACATATGAAGAAAGAGACAGTCGAGACATTGGTTATGTAGACTTTTGGTGGTATTAATGACATACAAATTTGTTCTTATAAGACAGTTTATTGACATGACCAATAAGTAATCAGAAAACTGCCATTTCTTTGATGTCAGAGGGGTCCATGAATAATTGTACTTACTTTTGGCAAACTCCCTCTCTGTTGATTATATCACTGTACAGAAGGGGTTCAAAAACTGTACATGTAATTAATGAATGGTGCCTATATTACTATGTTCCAAAATTAATGTTATAATGAGATTTTACATACACTTGACAAGAGCTTACTTTGTTACTAGAAACAGTTTATAAATATACATTGCATTTAACTTTAATAAAATGTTCAATATCAAAGGTTTATTTTGATTCTTTTATAACAAGACATTAAATGGCAGACTTTAATAATAATAAATTACTCACTTTGGTAAGATCAAATGGATTCCATCTAAAGTTTTCTGCCTGTTCTATAGTCATAACTTGTATATACAGTGTCCAAGAAGGATAGTTCCCACTTCTAATGGCATTATATAAGTCTCTGATGGAATAATCTGGATCAGAACCTGACAGTTCCCCGGCCTTGTCGACAGGAATATTCTTTATACCCTGATTAGTCTATTAAGTAAAATAGCAATGTAATAATGTTTTTCATTAAAAAATATTTTATAAGATAACAATAAAATACCTTGTAATGAAACTTGCAATACACTGCTTCTCCCTTACTGTTGACTAACTTGAATGTGTGAGAACCATAACCGTTCATGTGCCTGTAACCATCTGGAATTCCACGGTCAGAAAACAAAAAACAGACCTGATGGGTGCTCTCGGGTCTCAGGGTCAGAAAATCCCAGAACATGTCGACATCCTAGAATTTTTTCCATTTAAATACAGATAACAATTGAAAATAAAGTACAATAAATAAATAAAAAATACTTTTAAATGAGTGACAGGGTTCCTTTTCTGAGTGTGAATGAAACTAGGAAAGAACATGGGATCACGAATGAAAAAAATGGGTGTATTGTTTCCGACCAGATCCCAATTGCCCTCTTCTGTATAGAACTTCAAAGCAAATCCACGAGGATCTCTAACAGTATCCGCAGATCCACTTTCTCCACCTACAAAGAAAAAAAACATACTTTTTATTTTCACACATTGTTTATGAAGATAGAAGGCTCTCATAATACATTTTGAAGATTAGAGGGCACCTCACACACTATTTTGAAGTCATCAGTGCAAGAACTAGCAACATGCTCCAGAAATAATTCTCAGATATTACAAAGAAATCCATACCTAGACAGAGGAAGCATAGAAAGAAAAAACCTACTGAAATATGAATCCCTACCATGTGACATGACAAACTGTCATGAGTTGAAGTGGCCATACATATATACTGTATATACATTAATGTACAATAAAATGAGTGATTAGCAAACTGATGGTTTGAAAGCAGGAGACAAACATCAGTTTGTCTCCTGCTTTCATGTTTTACCATTTTAATCTCCTTGCTGCATACTCTGGTATATATCATGTATATAGGTTTCCTATTCAAATTTTTGTTTTAAATCCCATGACTTTCCCTGGACAACTTTGTACAAATTCCCTGACCCTCGCATCCCTTAGTGTGGCACATTGACAAAATAAAATTACATTTGACTTACTGTGCACATATGCTATTGCTTCTCCAACTTTTTAATTATTTATTTAATTATTTTTTCTAATTAACAGTTATATAGTTTTTATAATTGCTGAATAATTAAAACTAAAAATAAAACATTTTATCAAATTAAAGCAGTTTATTCTGTTATTTATCCACAATCATAAATCTACATAAGTTTGAAAAAAGAGCAATTATTTATTTACTATTCATTAACAAATCCTGTATAATCCATATACAAAAGTATATTATTTATTAAATTTATATCTTAATAAATTTCCTGCACTTTATAAAATATTAATAAACTGGAAAAAAATGTATTTAAATTAAATTATCACTTTTTGTATTTTGTAAATTTTTATGTATGCTTAGAAATTTTGGGTCCTGAAAATATTCTGCACCCTTTTCATAAGTTGTATTGCACTATATAACTTCTTGCTCCTGCAGACAACTACACTTAGTCAAGCATATTTTCAGAAAAAAATCAACAAGGCAGCCAAGGAGGCAAATTCCATGACTTTCCATGACTTTTTCTGAACATCCCTGATTTTTCCTGACTTTCCAGGTGCATAGGAACCCTGTATATAGTACTTTATAAAACCTTACAGCCCATTCTTGTAAAATTGTGTATTATTTCTGCTAGAAATGATTATTTACAGTTAAAATGCCATCTAGCCATTTTTAAATGCCAGCTAGTCAACACAAGCATTTCAAGCAGCAAACAGTGAAATGTTGGGTATTGAAATTTAACGGCAAACCAGGAAAAGAATTGGCCAACAAATCCCAGTCAGGGAGACCGGTGACCACAACAGACAACTTCCATCAAAAGAGAGTTGAAGAAATAATTCATAAAAATCGTCACTTCAAACAAACCGCCTTTAAATCAGGCATTTTAGAACAGGTGGGCCATGTAATTGGCATTCTTGAATTTCGTAAAGTATGTGCTAGATCAGTGTTCTGCAACTGGTGTGCCGCAGCACACTGATGTGCCGTCACATGGTGAATGGTGTGATGTAAACTTTTACATATTCTGTTAATTTCAAATTTTATTTATATATTTTTATCACAGTTGTGTTTCTTATGCTTGTATTTCATTCTCTGCTGCAGCACTGATGAAATAAGATGATGATTATTTATTCTTTATTACAAGCCATGCATTTTTATGTATTCTAAGAAATTATGTGTAAAAAAAATTTGCTCACAGGTGTTGATGTCTGTTTAATAATAATAATAATAGGTTAGTGGCATTACGTAATTCTATTAATAGTATCATATCATACGTTTTTGAGGGGAATAACATTTTGGTGTGCCGTGTTGAGTCATGGGTGTGCAGCAAGTAGAAAAAGGTTGTGGAACACTGTGCTAGATGAGTGCCAAGCATGTTGTCGGATGAAACAGATCTTATCCAACAACACACTGAATGAGTCCAAATTTCAAAAAAAATCTTTGAGAAGAGCAGAGGCTAAAGGTGAAAACTTTTTGGGACAATTTGGTGACTGAATATGAATATGGGTCCACCACTATAACTTACAGCAAAAAGCAGTCCAAAGAATACTTTCATACAGGGTCAGTGCAACCAAGAACATTCAAAAAACAAAGCTCAGCAAGAAAGATTATTTAGTCTGCATTTTGGAATACAAGGTCTGTTCAAAAAGTATCGGACCTTTTTTTTTGCGTAAACCAATGATGCGCAAGAGGCCTCCTTCGGTGGAGTTGTGGAGGGGACAGTCATGCACAGCCCTGAATTTTTTCCCGCCTGCAGCAAGCGTCAGTCATTGGCAATCGGCCTATGAGTGAGGTCATGTAGCACGTTCTCGTCAGATTCCACTAAGCTGGAAAATGACTGAACAACGTGAGCAGCGATATTACATCAAATTTTGCCAAAAAGCTTGGTGATACCCGAGTGTAAACCATTCGCAAGATTCAGTAGGCTTTCGGGGACGATCCTCGAGGCCAAAAAAAGCGCGGCAGGTCCACAGCAATATCAAAGGTCATGTTGACAGTTTTTTCGACTCTCGTGGGGTGGTGTGTCGTGAGTACGCACCACAAGGCCAAACCATCGCAAAGGAGTACTACCAGGAGGTCCTTCATCATCTTTCCGATACAGTGCGACGCAAACGACCGGATCTGTGGTCGATCAAAACTTGGCAGCTCCATCTTGATAACGCATCCGCCCATTCTGCACATCTGATTCGGGCTTTCGTCGCCAAACACAATACTCCTGTGGTTCGTCACGCTCCATACTCTCTCCACATGGCTCTGTGTGACCTTTGGCTATTTCCCAAGCTGAAAATGCCGCTAAAAGGAACCCGAATTTAGTCGAGAGAAGACATCGTGTGGAATCTGACGAACCGGCTGATGGCCATTCCAAAAAATGCGTTCCAGCAGTGTTTCCAGCAATGGCAGGAACGCTGGGAGAAGTGTATACATTACCAAGGAGACTGCTTTGAAGGGGATTAGGGTTTTGTTCCTCAAAGTCAATAAATTTATTTTTGCCGACCAAAGGTCCGATACTTTTTGAACAGACCTTGTATATAAGGAGTTATATTAGCAAATTTTTTGGAAAAACGGGATCACAATCAATTCTCAGCATTAAATTTGTTTAACATTTGAATGTAATCATATCAAGAGAAAAGGAAGAAAGGCTGATGAAAAATTGCTTCAGCATTACAATGCTGCTGCCATTGATCAGATTGGATTTTCCTTTATTCCCCATCTCCCATATAGCCCTGATCTTACTCCAAGTGACTTCTATCTCTTTCCAAAGCTGAAAGAACACTTGAAGGGGAAACATTTCAAATCTGACAATGAAGTAAAATCAACAGTTACATCAGTGGATTTGACAGAAAACTCCCAAACTTTTCAATGATGGACTTGGCAAAAATATATCAAGGTTAATAAAGATTGGTGAAAAATAAGTATGCTCAGTACATTTGTAAATATTAAAACTTTACTTTCACTTTTGTTTTACTAATCTGTGGCCATCCCTTGCTGACTTATTAATGTGGATGACAAAACTTTTCAGCCTACCCTCATAATATTCTGTTTCTGGAAGTATAGTTTGATATTAAGCCTATAAAACATTGGAGTTAAATTTATAACATCTAACTCAACAGTGTTTTTTCTGGAACTTTGTTTGAAGAGATACGACAATCTGCCTTCCAGGAGGATTTTTCTATGGGAAACTGGGAACCTATTAAGATGTTAGACACATAAAGAAAAGCAGAAAACTCCATATGACCAGTTCATCAGTTGGGCATGAATCCACAACCAACTACAAATGTTCAATGGTTTTAGCCACTTTGCCATTGGTGTGTTTTATTGGAACTACTGTATTGTTCCAAATATAGTGAGACTTTCTTTTTTAAACTTTTGCTTTTGAAAGGTAAAAAAAGCACTAAATGTAAGTAAGTTCTTTTCTAACTTGCATATAAGTACAACCCTTATAAATTATTACATTTTACAAATAGACATATATTTTGTTCACTTGTTGCCAATGTGATATTTCTTTTACATAGTCTTTAGGCAAGAAAAAAATGGCCAATGCAGATTGCGTTGAAAAATGAAGTTTGACATCTTGGCAGCCAAGCAAGGAAATTACAAAGTAATTTGACTCAAATTTCAAATGCACAGTTCTGAAATATGCTCAGAACCACAATAATTGGTAGATAATGCAGAAATTTGGAATAATGAAAGCAAACAGGGAACAGGTAAAAATAACCAACTATTTTGTAGGCAATTCTGCAGATGTAAAAAAATAAAGGTTGTATTTAATCCTAATTTTTATTTCTTACAAAATGTTCCTTGAAACTTACGGTCATACTATATTTCAGGGGCACCTGTATATTGGGCACATGCCTTCTTTGTCATCGGGTAGCATGTTTCTTAATAATCAAGGAAGCTCTAAAGTTTCATTTTATTTTTAAATTAGTTAAAAATGTTTTCTGTGATAAAATTTAGTACATTTTTTAGATGACAAAATAACAAATATTTATTGTTAACCAAAAATTTGTTCAAGCAAGTTGTGATTAGTCTAGTACCAAGGTACCACTATATTTGAATAATTAAATTGATTTTGATATACACAGTAGCATTGAGGGATTAATTGTGTTAATCAAGAGATACTGTGTATATATACACACGCACACACATCTTGCATAATGTACATACAATGCTCTTTCTTATAGTTTGTGGCTCACTTTTTTAGAATCTGAAGGCACCACTGCTATCTGCTGTATTTTGAACAATATAGTAAGTATTACATCATATAAAAATATGAATTTATAAATATTTAATTTATATTAATAATTTCATTTATAAATATTCATAATCACACTGACCGACAGTTGAAAACCTAACGGCGATTGGAGTTTCCTTTCCAATTTTTTCAAAAAGCTTTGCCTTGCAATATTTTGTAATGTCGTGAGTCACCACAAAAGTGCCAAATGCTCCCGCTCCTTTTGCATGAACCACTCGTTCGGGTATTCTCTCTCTGAAATATTTTAAAAAATCAATTTTTTAAAAGGGAAACAATCCAAAGAACAACCTAACAAGTTAGTTAATTTATTTTATAACACACTTTTTATAAGGTGATAAAATTTCTAACCTGTCAAAATGAGCCATCTCTTCCAAATATACCACATCTTGCAACAGCATGGGACCTCGGGGTCCTGCAGTAAGAGAATTGAGCTTGTCTCCAATCGGACATCCCGTCTGAGTGGTCAACAGTTTTCCTTCCTTTAAATAAATACGTTTAAAATCATTCAAAGTCAAAAGGATTTCATGATAAAGAATTTGTGCACACTTTGTCTTTTTATAGCTTTAGGGCTAGCAAAATCCTCAATTGAAATTGTTTGAGGAAAAAAATTTAATAAACAACCAAACATCAGCCAAATTAAATTGGGCAGAAATTATACTACAAATATTTAGAAATTACACGATAACTAGAGGTAAATATTACACGCCATCTCTTAACTAAAGTGGTAACTATGGTCGATTGATTATTAATACGTTGAGTTTGTGGGACATTTAATTATAAATTTAATAAGTTATATAAAATTGTTTATTTTGCATTTAGTGCCTGTTTGCGTGCAAAGCCCTAAATATTTAGATTCAAAGACACAAAGCACTAACATGCAACTTATACAGTCGGCCCCATTTTATTCGTCACAAGGTCCAATCTACGACGGTTAGGCTAGCACATAGCAGTCCCAACCGAAAACATTCACAAAAAACCTCAAAGATCCGGATTAGATCCAACCCACATAATACGGGACAGCAGAGAGACAAACAAATATTGGTTATACGATAAGAATTCCTTATCACACAGCCAGTGTTTACTTGTATCTTAAGAGTTCCCACAGACCAGAGTTCACGAGCAATTAGTATTTGTATTTTTCGTAACTTTCCACCTCGTAGGCATTTTTTTCCCACATCTATTACAGGTTAATTAAGCCAGAACTAATTCCACACCAGGTGGGACTCTATGCAAAACATAAATGCAAAGCATTTCGAAGGCAAAAGGCCGGGCACTGACCGAACGCAAGTTTTGGGCAAGCAGATGGACAGTGCCACCACAAAGCTAACACCCCAAGAGGAAGTAACTTGGCAAAGAGAGACGGAGCCTGACGCGACTGTGGATAGTATTAAAGTCACGGCCTTGACTCGAGGATCCATTACCGTCCAGCCATCCAGTCGCCGACACCCGCCAGCCCGTGCCAAAATAGATCAGAGTCCACCCACTTATATTTGGGAAGATCTCTCCAATAAATCTTTTAATAGAAGTTCTAAAATAAGTGAATAGCAAATAAGAAAGTATATTTATTAGGTTTACTACTGTAAATATTTGATGCGCATCACATCAAGTAAAACACATATACAATTTCTATACATGTTTATCATCAAATTTCCTTGTCCTTTTTTTTAAAAAAGAATATAAAAAGAAAAAAAGAAAATAATTGTTAAGAGAATTTTAAATATAAAAAGAAAAAAATTGTGGTAGAAGTAACTTTATGTGTATATATTTTATATGCATACACATAAAGTGACATTAATTAACAAACGATTTAAAGTAACATGTACAAAGTTTCCAACAACACTACACACCACAGACGTGACGACGACGATGACTTTTGCAGTTAAATTACGTATAAAATTACACGTAATATCATAAATAGCACCAGTACTTACGGGATTTTTCTCCTTATATTCGCTCAACTGTTCCGCAGCCTTATCGCGATTCATTTTTAGCAAAATTTAATTACTTTCTTCCGCAACGATGACAACAACCTACACCGACGATGCCCAAAGCTCTAACTGGCGCGGCGGAAAATAAACACGACGATAACAACTCGACATCGTTGCACCGACCTCTCCCATTGGTCGAATCCGTCCATCGACATTATAAGTTACGATTACTCGAAAGATTAAAATTTCGAGATATTATTATAGTAAAAATATATTTATTTATTTATTAAATTATTACAACAATCCTTAAACACTTTATAATCGAATTATTTATTTTATATTTTAAATTAAAAATAAAAATAATAATAATAATAANATCATTTTGGTATTTAGATTTAATGTTGTCGGGTTAATGTTGTTTGTTTATATTTATATATAACTTATAACATGCACAAAATAAAAATAATAATAATAATATTCTTCATTTTTTAAAAGGCTGAAAATAATTAAAATATTTGCCAAATTGTTTAAGTCAATAAAATTAATAAAAAATAATTCTATATCGAAATTATATAATAAACGCTTAAATGTAATATATATAAAACGCGAATGATGGCGTTGTTATTTCGAACTTGGCTCCTGCCCAACTTCATCCAGATTAAATTTTGTACGTTGCACTCTTCGATTAAACTCAAAATTATATAACTTGGGGGGAAAAATTATCATTGAAACTAATATTTGCTATGTTTGAATGAATAAAATAAAATTTTCGTCGTGAATATTTCTATCGCAGAATGACAGTCGTCTAGAGTGCCTCTTCCCAATCAATAGCTCGCGAACTACGGGCCACACTAATAGATACCGCCCATTGAGTAACGTTGAAGAAATTTCATCTACAACTAAATGTCAAATTATTTTTTCTTATCTAATTTATCGCGCGTATATAAGCTTAAATAATAATCATCCCGAGAAGTTTGTCTAGACATTTCAAAAGCCATAAAATCTCCTAAATTAGAAATTTTCTAATAAATTTCGCTCGAACGACAAAAAACAAACCATATTATTTTACATTTGGATGACGAAATGGGTTGGAGAAAGTTAACTTATTTGAAATGTTTTCGAATATAACCTAGTCCCGCTCTGATTTTCTTTATGGTTTTATTTATGTAAAAAGAATTAGAACGTTTTATTTTAACAAATCGGTAGTCACGTCTTTATTCGGCACATCAGATAATTATCCAAGAAGCGAAAAATAGAACAAATTAGCATTTAGAGGTCGGTCGGAAGAAATTTTCCTTATTGATATTTCGTAACACAAATTATACATCAATTTTTTTCCTTGTAAATCATTATTAAACGTGTCTAAAACGGGTAATTTGATGCGAAAAACAGTAATACCAAACCGTTATTTCTAGTTTCCGACAAGTGAAAATTCGCTAAAATATCGCTATTACTTTTTGTAACGCAATATTATTTTATATAAGAAATATTTTTTAAAAAAAAGCCAATTGTATTATAATAAATAGTGCATATCGATATATCTAGAAGAACAACTCGTAAAGATAATTTATTGTTTTTAAAAAGTAATTATTTTCGTTAGAATTATAACTTAAAAATAAAATAATTAATAATAATTTAATTAATAAATTCAATTTTCTTAGGTGGCGCACATAATCATTAAATCCCTCTGTCGGTTATTAATAAATTTTTTTTAAAAATAATTTTACGCCACGGCGAGAAATGATAATTAGAAATTTATACTATTAAAAAAATTTAATGTGTAAATGTATTGATTAAAATTTTAATTATTCGTGTAAAAAATTCTTGAAGTATTTTTGGAGTCAAATACCTGACTTATGATGTATTATGCTCTTTACGTTATTGCCGAATCACCGCTTCAAATTTTACGGCAATTAATTTCACGTTTAACAAACTTTTAATGACTCCGTTATTTGGGATGACTTGCAAACTCTAACATAATTAAACGAGAAATGTTCTCATTTTAAAACATTATTTTGGTAGTTGAAGCGTTTCGGGACGATGTTAAGAGGATTGCTCTCGGTTTCCTCGTTAAACCAATAAATTGCTTAGTTTTTAATGAAGGTAGAAAGGATTAACGACAATATTAAGGAAATTTGCTAGATATAATATCTATCCCGGTTTATAGGAAATACATAAGAATTCCTTTATTAGGTTTATCTATAATACAGGAAATATCATGAGGAAATTATTATTATAATTCCTTAACATCAGGAAGTTCTTATTTAAATACATTCGATAATTCAAATAACGTTATGAGAAATTCTTAACTTTTACTCAACGTTACACTCACACAGACAAGTAATATTATTGACTTATGAATATTTGTATTGTATTTCTCAGTTAAATCTTTAAATATTTAATTATGTCTTTTACATCGTGGAAAATAATATAAAATGTTTTAAATAATTTAAAAACAAAAGAAAACACAAGAATTTAAATCTAGAGATTTATCTTGTGAAGGAAGTTCATTATTGCATATGATACACAGTCTTATATGGCTATAAAAGTATATTAGATGTATTATTTAGGATGGTTACACTACAATTAAACATGGTAATCTATCATCGGAAAACCTTCTAGATAAGAACTCCTACTAATACGCCCGAATTATAAATTATGAAACATAAATGGTACTATGTTCTGCAAGCTTAGCATAGGCCTATCCTCCTTTACGTGCTCATGCATTACAGTTATGTATAATAAATTGAAAATTAAGCATAGATTCGTGACGTAAACATTATATTACAATGGACTTAGTACAGATTAATTTAATAGCATAGACGAAGAACTGGACTAAAATCAATTCATAAAGTTTTATTCGATATTAATTGTTATAATACTCTATTCTAGCTCGTTGATTACTCTATAAATTAATGCAATACGTTCACAAAAGTACGAAAATTACGGTTAGGGAAATTAATAATACAAACGTGAACATTTAAACAGTAAATTTATTAGATTTCACAAGAAATTATTGTCTATTTTCATCGTTAGAAACTAAATTTGAAACCCATTGACCGCATCATCAACTAATTAAATCATTATCGACTGATATGGTCGAGAAAAAGTAAGATTAAATTGATGAGAGATAACGGCATAAAGAAAAAGAATTATTTTCAGACGAAATTTCAAATTTAAACAGTTGTTTATCTTTAGAAGTTGCAATTCATCTGCCTTAATCAAAATGAAATTCCTAGCTATTAAATTATTTCTACCACTTCATACAATTATGTACTGTATAAACAAAACATTTTAATAATTGTTATTTTATACTTTTTTAGCATATGTGTCAGTTATGTAAAGTTTATCATCGTCATTCAAATTATCGTTGTCTTACAGTTAAATATTTTATCAAATTATCGCAATATCTTTAATATCGAAACTCATTATCATGTGATAAGGTTAATCTCCAAACTTCGAAGCCCACCAGTAGCCTAGTGAATAAAACTATGGAACACCGGTAGTTGTTCGCGGGTTGGCGCCCGATCAACAGGCCAAGGACTTGGAGTTTTCTGGGTTTTCTTGGCGTAAAGAGGGATCAGTTTCCCGTAAAAAATCCTTCCGGGAGGCATTCCCTCCATATACCAACAAACCAACCTTTGACACGTAAATTAACCAGAAATTACTGAATAGTTACTTAGGAAATAGTAATGTAGTCGATACGATGTTGTAGATAAAGTTATAGATATAATTGTGTAGATTTATCGTTACAAACAGTTTTATCTGGAAAAGGACAGAGAACAAGAATTTAAAATCTGAAACTAGTCTTTTTAATCACATTTTTAATACTTTTATCTAATGATAAAGACAAGGAAAGAGCAAATTCTTTGTTGAAATTGCATCAGTTCTCTCGATATAATAATAATAATAAAAAAAATACATATGGATGTAAAATCTAGACGATAGTGATTATTGTCTGGATCTAGATTTAAGAATTAATTGTAATATTAATTACGAAAATTCGAAATTTATTATTGAAAATAAATAAAACGATTATAAATTTACACCCTAAATAAAAGGAAAAATATATATTGTATAAATGTAACTATTGAATGGTCAAAGAAGTTCTAGAAATCATTTAGGAACTGTTCTGGAGCACTAGGATTCGAAGACTGAAATTTTTACCAGGTTTTTGTCCCAAATACAAAGGGTCCCATCTACCACTACTAGGCCCGTTATTCCGTTTGGATCTATGGTCTTTCACGGAAGTCGGTTAATCAGACTCACAACAAGTCTAACATTTAATAAAAATACGTTTATAATTTGGCAGCAAATTCTAGACAAGTACTAGCTTATAACATCACTTTTCTTGGTCTATCGGTGCCGAATAGACGAAACAATCCAACGACTAAAACTGATGGCGGGTAAGCGCCTCACAACCGGGATGGCCGTGTAAGTTTTTGGATTTTCTCCACGTAAATTTCCCCATAGAAAGTCTTTCCAGGGTTGCCGTATTCCATGAAATCTGGAGGTAAGTTTGGAGCCAATTCTCCAATTTTGGCACCGGAAGTAGTCTCTGCCGAAAATTAGACAATTTAATTGCGCGACCGAACTTTCGTCAGATTTTTCTTCGCAATTAATTTAATTTACATAACAGCAAAATTACAAAATATGTCGTCATAATTTTTTAACTACAAAATTGCAATTTTAGTATTTCCGATATAAATCATGGATTTGACAGACCCAATTTCACAATTGTTATTGGATTTTAAAATGACAAAATGTGTTGTATCGTGTTAACAAAATCATAGCATTTCATCGTAACATAAATCCCTAAATAGAGAAAAAATTCGAGTGCAATCTGATCTAACCAATTCAATTCTTTGCGATTTTAAAGATATTTCGTCGAGCGATTATTTAATTGTTTATAAAAATTTAGTTGTCATCGTAAATTGACATATAAATGAAACAAATAACCGTACGATAAGAGAAATCAGCTACTACTACGGAGGATCCGGATTCGGATCCCATCTAAGTCGTCATAATATATCAAGATATGTCGTTTATCCACGCATTATGAGTCCGAACCATCCACGTAGACAAGAATTTGGCATACCACGCTAGTTACCACTCTTCCTCACTACATGAAATCAAACCTGAACAGAACTAATAGGTTTATTAGTAA